CAGCCTTGGCAGGTAGCCATCAGGCATAGAATGTGACCTGATTTTCTAGCTCTTTGGTTCTGGCCCCGCTGAGAGCCGATTCTTCTTCCTGAATTCAGCCCAGGTGGGGAGTAAGTCACACAAATGCATATTTAAAAGCTCAACCGAATTCTTATTTGGAGAGCAAGGAATTAACAGGGCTCAAGCAGTGGCCATCACTTGCCTGCTGTATGGATCTTTTCACAGAAAGCATCCTGGTAAAATATGCAATGATAATAACGAAAGCCCCTTTGGGGGCCCAGGAGTAAAGGGAAACTCAAATTTATGTCAAAAACTGAATGTGAATGGGAGAAAAGATCACACGCAGGCAAAACCTTTAAAAGGTAAACATAAAAGAAATGTCTGGCTAAATGTATCTCTTTGTCAGTGAAAAATAACCTAAGCCTTAGCCAAGTGTGTTGCCAATTCTTCAGCTGAAGGAAAAGAGAGAGCTTACTATAGAGCAAACAGGACTTTCAGCCATAATGAAAATACTCGGCCTCTGCACTATCCAAGGCCCCGGCCAATAACCACATGTGGCTCTAGGGCACTTGAAATGTGGCTAGTGGGACTGAGGAGCCGAATTCTTTCATTTTAATTCATTTTACATGAAATGTAAGTAGCCACAGGTAGGTGGTGGCCAAGGCATGGGACCACTCGGCTACAGACACTCAAACTCAACAGTTGGGAAACATCTTTCTTTTCCTCCAATGAAACTAAAATCACAGTCAACCAACAATATCTTAAATCGTCACCAAAATAGTTAGTATCTCGATACAGGCCCCGGCTGCCCCAAACTCAGAAAAACAGAAGAAAGTGATTCCAGTGTGTCGTTTCTTGCCGCGTGGGTGTGCCTATCCAGTTTTCGTGTCTATCACCCTCTATGGCTTCATGTATTTGGAAATCTGTTCTTGTAGACGTACTCTCATTTGCGAAACCAAAACGTCACAGTCTCTTCCCTACGTCTAGGAAACATGAAAAAGTAAACTTAGGGCAAGTTACTTAACCTCGCTAAGCTTCGGTTTCCTTGAGGCTAAAGTGCAGATAAGAGTAGAACCTGCCTCTCCTGAGGATTAAATTCAAAGAATGCATGTAAAGTGCCTCACAGCGCCAGGCCAAGGGCAAGCACTCGGCAAGTAGCTATAATTATTATTTTGTTAATAACAATAGTGAAATCTGTAATAAAATAAGAACGGTGCTACTAAAATAGAAGTTGACAGTCGGCAAGTTTTCTAGGCCAAAACACTCTGAACCTGCTTCCAAGGCTACAGTAAAGTAGCCTCTAGAGAAATACATCTTGGGGACATCTTGGCACTCACGGTCAACCCCCAGATGGGCAATCACCCCGTCAGGTACCACGAGTCACCAGAATCGTTCAGCTGAGACTTAACTGTGCTCCTACTCTGTGGCTGTCAAATCACAACAGTTCCCAAACACAGGGCAAAGACGCGAGACTGTCTTCTGACCCCACCGAGACACCTCGGCCAGAAGCGAATATTTCATTCTGGGGTCCCACACAGTCCGGGAGGCTCCATTCCTGTTTCCTGAATCAACCAAGGCCAGATTCAGCGGCGGGTCCACAGAATGGGACCAAAGGGTAAGGGGACCTGAGGGGACCTGGCCCGTTTTCTCAGCCAGGACAACAAGAGCGTGTCGACAGGTCATGTTTCTCACTGACAGGCCAAATCACTTTAACAGGAAAGCTGTCTTCTGAGCCTTCAAAAAAGCCAAATCTGATCTGCCTCGCAAAGCAAACACAACCCGCTTTCCGCAGGCAGCTGTGCAAGCCGGTGAAATCCAGTGGGAATCTCCTCCACCAAGTTCACATCAGCCAGACCAATACGTCAGAAATCCCCCAGGAGTGGTGAAGCAGAAGTGTGGTGGAATTCTGTGGGGTTTCGGGGTTATTTTTTCTTTATATAGAAAGCACTCAATCAATCTTCTTTCACAACCAAGGGTACATTCCCCTGTGGAATTCCCTTCTCTGAAGATCTCTACAAGTAAAATATTTGTCTGATCATCTGCAATAATTTAAGTGTAAACTCACTCACTGGCGGAGTCAGGGATTTCTCACAACTCCTCCACCTATAAAAACAACGTGCTTTGGACTGTCTCAGGTATCCAATTTCTGTACCCCTCTAGCCCCAAAACACTGGGCAAGCCACGCCCTTGACTTTGGGATAAGAAAACAGGGTTGTCGTATCTGGAATCTCGTACTTGTACTCTTTGCTGGTGGCACTGTAAAAATAGTACAACCATGTTGGAGAAAGATCCAGCAGCTTCTTATAAGGTTCACATACACCTCTTCTATGACCTAATGATTCTGCTTCTAGGCATTTACCCACAAGAAATGAGAACATATGTCCCTAGGAAGACTTGTACACAAATATTCATAGCAGCTTCATTCACAATACTCCCCCCACACTGGGACTAACTCATGTGTCCATCAACGGGGGGGAATATATTAACAAACTGTGGTATGGACATATCCTGAAATATATAATTCAGCAATTAAAAAAAAAAGCCCAAAATACTGATATATACAACATGGATGAATCTCAAAACTATGCTGAGTAGAAGAAGCTTTACACAACACCGTAGAACTCCATTTATAGGAATTTAAGCACAGACTAAACTAACAGTGAGAAACAATCAGCATTTGTTGCCCCTGAAAGAGGGGCAGAGACTGACCGGGAATGGGGATGAGGAACTTTCTGAGGTGATGGTAATATTCTCTATCTTGATAGCAACTAAGGTTACACAGGTGTGCACATCTATCAAAACATTATGCAAATATTATCCTCAAGATTTGTGCATTTCACTCTATGCATACACATTTTACCTTAAGAAAATCGTGAACATATATTGAACTCTGAATAGTAACAAGGGCACTGAAACATTTAGGAGTGACCTGTGCCAATGTCTGTAATTTACTTTAAAGTGCATAAAACAATAGGTTGGGACTTACTGATGGATGGGACTTAAGTTGGGAATTAAGATGGATAGAGGGATGAATAAATCGACAGATGTGTAATAAAGCCAGTACTGCTAAATTATACTCTAGATATGGGTATTTGGGGGTTACTGTTCTTGCAACTTTCTTATACTTTTAGAAATGAGACAGGTGGGGAAAGAGTCATAATACCCACTCTTTAGCCCACCAAGTTAGAAATTTGGCAAGACACCCATGCCCACCAAGCCATGGGCCCACATAGTTTCAGTTCTGCAGAGAAGTGAAGATTGGAAGAACACAAGTAGCTTTACAGGAACTCTCATCACTCATGCCAAAGATTTTCTGCCTGTTTCCCTACAGACAAAGCAATTATTTGAATGGAAGCCAAAAATTCCTGCTCAAGAGGGAGAAAAAGAACTCATTCCCAATTTGTTCTCTTTCAATTCCTGCACCAATCTATTAGCTAACTGCACAACACTCCACTTCCATTTGCCCCGTGTCCGTTAAGTCAAAAGACTAACAAAGAAAAACCAACCCAGCGACCTGAATACAGAGGATGAGGTCCCAGTTCTCAGGACCAGAAACCCCGCTGAAGGCAAAAGAGGATGCAGAGTCAGTCTGAGGTTAAAGTGATTTCACTGAGGTTAGCACACACGCACGCACCAAAGAGCCCCAAACAGCTTGTTGCTTAACCCCTCTGTGGGGTTTGGTGACATCTGGGGTCACTTGAACTTCGTAGGGAATTCAGCTGTTTAGAGGTACAAATTAGGAATCCTGGCAGCCAGGGACACGTGGGGTGCACAGCATGCCCTACCCACAGGCCCAGAGGTCGCTCACATTACCCCCGCCTTCCTTCCTGGCAGGGCCTCTCTTAGCCTGAGATGACACAGGATGGCAGGCCCTGGAAGAAGCCTAGCCTGACTGCGCGCCCAGCATCTGAAAACAGCTATACCAATTACAAGAAAGGACTGTTGCTGGAAACCCAGGGCAGGCACTCAAATTTGGCATTTGTGCCAGACTTTAAAAATATATACATACTTTTTGTTTGTTTGTTTTTAAGTCCCCCAACAAACTCACTGCCACCACCCAGTGTCCCTGGGGACCACCCACAACCACATAGGGCAGCTAAGCATAAGCAACGGGAGGCAGCAGGGAGCGCGCCTGGGTCTAGCACTTTTGGCTTCCACGCGGTTTTCGCTGCCAAGACGGCGATATCTTGGGTCAAGGGCACGGGCCCTGGTCGGGGGGGAGGAGGAGTGTTGCATGCCTGACAATCGGGTTTTCTGAAATGTACGCCGCCACCACCCCGCCATGGCCCAGACCTACCCTGGCGTCCCTTGAGCCTGGGAAAGTGGGTTAGGATGAGGAAAGAAATCCCCTTACAGAAGGGGAGATGCCGTTTTCAGTGCCGGGGACTCCCCGCGCCCAGGGTCTCTGTGCCTCCGGTGGCTGCGGTGCTTCCTCTGGACGCGCGGCAGGTCTGCTCCCATCTATCCAGCACCCCTGCGCCAGCAACAAACCCACCTCCCAGGGCGCACGCAGAAGGGCAGCTGGGAGCCACCTCCCACTCCCCACCCCCCGCCCCACCCCGGCCTCCCGCCCTCCTGAACCCGTACTCCGTGCCCAGCTCCTGCCTGATCTTTGCCAAGGACCCCCTGCAGCAGTGTCCCAGACCCACCTGTAGCCTCAAAGCTTCCCCTCTGCTTCCCTCTTTGGCGCCCCCGAGCCCGCAGAGCCCGCGACCCCTAACAAACTGCTCTAGGTGCCTCTCCCCAGAGCGTGCCAGGGATGATTCCCGCCCCCCCCCAGAAAAGTTGGCCAAGACCGCTGCGTGCGGTGGATCGGCGCCGACTCCATCCAACCCGGGCGGGGGATGCGGTAGCGGGGGCGGTGGCCCTCTGGCAGCCCCGGCAACCTGCAAGGAGGCGCCACGCGGGGCTCCTCCGGTCCGCAGCGGTCCGGGTCCGCGGGGCCAGATGGCCGGGCCTGTGCCCGCCTACACCCCAAGTCCTGCCGCGCGCCCACCTACCGTTGGGAACTGGCTGAGGAGAAGGCGCCGGCGCGGGCTCCCTGACACAGCGTGTTCCGTCCCGGGAGGAAAGTTTGTGCCATACAGCGCAGGCGGCGCGGGGAAGGCGTGGGCGCCAGTGGGTGGGGGCGGGAAGCGGCGGCGCGGCGCGCTCGGGTGTCCGTCCCTCCCGCGATCTGGGCGTCAGTCCCTCCGCGGAGCCCGCGGCCGCCGCGCTCCCGCTCGCTGCGCCTTGAGCCTGGCGCGCTCCGGCTCCAGCCCCGACGCGCCCCCGCCGCCGCCGCCGCGCGTCCGCCGGCTACACTTCCTCTTCCTCTGAACTCATGTGCAAAATATGCTGCACTGCATCTTCTGGGGAGCCGCCGGCCCCTGACCGCCGCCGCGGGAGCAGCGGGTTCTCCCCGCGCCCCTGGGCACCCTGCACCTCCTCGACGCCCCGCGCCGCTGCCTCCACGCGGCGGGCCACCTGCGCGCAGCACACGCTGCACCCCGCGGGCGACCCTCGCTGCCCCTCCGCGCAGAGGTCGGAGGCTCTGGGATCCACCCTCTCGACCCCTCCTAACCAAGGGAGTGCACGTAGGGCACCAGGTGCCCTCAAAATTTGAGCCGGGGTGCTGGATGGTGACTGCCACCAAGGGGCTGATGGCTGAGGGTGTGGGAGGATAATTTAGAGGGGGCCGTTCCTCCTTCCCATTCCACAGGTGGGTCACCCCCCCCCCCCCCCCCCCCCCCCCCCGTCTAAGTTACTTACTGAGTTGGTGATTAACGAACGAGAGGGATAATGCCACCAGCTCCTTGCCACACCCTATTCCACCTACTTCAGGTATCCAGAAGGTTTGAGATCTGGGGAACCATCTCGGCCTGCAACTTTAGGTTGCCCAAGAAGACAATTATATAAATAAAGCACCAGGGCAGGGCTGACTTAGTAAAGTGAAAACGTGAGGCAGAGAGCCCGTGAAAAAGTATTTTTTTCTTGTAACTTTTTAAACAAAGCAAAATTACAGTGTAGGGGTTAAAAGCAGGAATCCCAGAGCCAGTTAGGGTTGGCCTGGCCTGGCCTGGCCTCCATACTTACTCCCTGTGTGATTTGGGTAAGTGCCTTAACTGCTCGGGGCCTGTTTCCTCGTTTGTTAAATAGCACTTCCTCGTGGGTTTTATGTGTAAAGTGTTAAGGAACCACTCTATAACTTAGCTACTATCATTATTATTATTAATATTATAAGAGGACCGCAACAAGACAGCTAACATAATCTAATTAATTATCTACATTTTCTGGTTGGGTGAAGAGGGGGCCTCAGGCATTAGAGCCCAGAGAGGGGTGGGCTGGTTTCGGGCCCCAACAGTGTTTTAATGAGGTCCTTCTGGTACTAATAACCACCCCCCAGGGGGTAAGGAAGAGCTATTTTGTCTTCAGGAATTCCTGTTTCACCACACAGGACTCTCTCAGAGATTTTCTTATTTTCTTTTTCCATAGCCATCCCAGTTATGTGTTCCTCCCTCCTGTGCCCAACGCCATTCTTGTTTGTGTTTTGTGTTTTGTTCCCTTTCCTTTCCAGCTCACCACTTGCCGCCGGCATCACTCACCACCACCGATTCCAATCTCCCCAGATCGCTCTCCTTGGCTTGCCCCCTGAGAGAAAATAGTAAGACCAGGTGACAGCCCAGGTCCAGGTTCAAACCAAAGTGTGTGGGGACAAGGGTCCAGTGGCACAACCCTGGTTTTAAACACCCACCTATGAGGCCACAAGGAGGGATGGATGGATCTTTATGTCATTTATCTGCCAAGGCCTTGAGTTTTGCAAGTCAGGGCTCATCCGAAATCTTTCTGATCCTTTCTAATCTTTACCTCAGAAAAAAAGTAACTTTTATAGGTGTTAATCAGAAGTTCACAAGTAAACACGGAGTATTTAAATGAAGATAAAGAGAAAAGAGGGGAAAATGCAGCGTAAGCTGGCTATGGTTGGGGGCAAAGGTTTGATTTCTTTTAAGCAAATCATTTTCACTCTATAAATTTTTGCACATAGTTTTTTTTTTAACACCTGATCATTGGGGTTAATAAATTATTCTGATTGTTTCCATTTTCTTCCACTCGACATTTTCCTGAGTACTAACGATGTGTAAATGTCTGAAATGTCTTTTTTTCCCTGCTTGGATCTGCCTTTTTTTAGGGTTTTCTAGAATTCTCCACCTTTCCCCCTAGATATTCTGACACTTCCTACCCGATTCATAGTAGATGATCAATAAACATCTATGGAATGAATGGATGAGTCATTAACATTCAGATCTTTCAAGGCTCTGTGTAACCTACATTGAACAATTGTCTGAAATATTCTAGTTCTCTTTCACCTGGAATACCCAATGAGGAGTCAACATTGGGTTCATTTGTGCTGTGTAGAGGTCAACCTCGATTTTCCACTTGGCTGCCGTGGACTGGCCAGCCAGGAGATAGACTCTGGGCAGCTGGGACTCACCTCTGACTGACCTCGCCTACCCAGCGTCAACCCCAAAGATGCTGGAACTATATCCTGGTGGGTTACCTTGGCAACCTCACAATGTCATCTGTTAGAATGTCCTAGGGCGGCAGCTTTTAATTCTATCACAGCGGTCTCATCGGGGGTCATGTAATAGTGCTGTTTTTCCTCTGCTCACACTTCCTCCCCCTATGATTTAACACTAAGTACTCAGGGAGGGAGCTGAACACGGGGAAAACCAAGCTATTATAGCACGACAGGTCACAGATGGCCCCAGAACTGGGATCCTGAGTGTTCGCAGTCGATAAAATGCAGGCCTCAAGTTAATGGGGAAGCTGGTTCTCCCCACACCCCCCTACCCCCCGCCCAGTGGAAAAGAGAGGAGTTAAGCCAGCCTAGGCAAGCGTAAGAAGCAGCCGTGGCCAGACTGTACAATTCTTGCAAAAGCTCCGTTAAAGGAACCCCCCACTGGAGCATTTCTCTCTCCTGGCCTCAGCAGCATCGCCCCACTCTGGAGATGATTAAGGCCATAGGTACCAGTAGCCAGAGCAATTTTGCTGCACCCCAGCTATGCTGAAGCTTGGAGGGAAGGAGAATCCCAGCTAAACCTCTCTATTAGTGCCCTCCTTCGCCCCACCCCATAATTTCACCACACTCAGCACCCCCCAACTCAGCTCAAAATAACTCAGGCCCCACTATTCTGTAAAGAGCAATAACAACTTAGGCAGAAAGCCGACCCATCAAAAGCTTCGGAACCTGAAGAGCTATTGTCCTGTGTTTTCACAGGGCGGCCAAAGGCAGATCTTGCACAGGGCAGCTGAACAGCGGCACTTCAGGGCTGACAGGAAAGATAAGTAAACTCATATGTGCCCTGGGGGCATAGGAATTATTCATCTTTATCATCACGGTTAATATTTTAAGTGGGTTTGCAGCCACAGTGAGGTCACAGGTTGGCCCGCGGCTCCACACTAGATGGCTGCCGGAAGCCGGCCCCATGCAGGGCAACACTGGTCTCCGTAAGGAGGCATGGTGGCAGAGGCCAGATTCTGTGCCCCAGAGCCAGTGGTTTCGGAGGAACCCCTGGCCCTTGGTTCATGATGACAGGCTCAGATGTGCCCCTTGCAAGCCCGTGGTGCCCAGGGTCACCGTGGAGCAGGGCACACTCATGCCAGGCTCCAGTCCAGCCCTGGGATTCCCTCAGCTGTGTGAATTGGGGTGGGGACAGGGAGCTTGTATGTGTGCACTGACTGGCCAACGCCAGGGACTTGGGTCCACAGTGCGGTCAGACGACTACTCTGCAAATGCTGCCACGGGCGTCACCATTTTGAGGAAACGCACGATTGCCAAATGTTCCATTCACGCCATTACACAATATATATATGTATCGTTGTTGTTATTTGGCTCCTGAATCCACTCCTCATTTTTCCTCTGAATTCCCAGTCTGTCAAACAGGCGGTTCAGGGGATCAGGGGCCCTCCTGTGGCTGAGAGAGAATTTGCTCTCCAGAGCAAAGAGCCAGGAGACTGAATTTCAGGAATATTGTGTGAAGCATGCTGCTATCTGCAGCCTTGTTCCCCTCATGCAGCCTGAGGAACTCTCTGGCTTTACCAAAAGCTATCCACACTCATAGCCCTTCACCGGTTATTCCATTCGTGGGACATCTCTACTGACTTGCATTTGTGAACAAACTTTATTACCAGAGATTATACACACACACACACACACACACACACACACACGAATATATAGAAGCCTATATATTCTACAGATTACAAAAAAAGAAGATTGTGGAAATAAATCAGATTTATTATCAGAATAAGATTTTGATCCATTAATTGATATGATTTCCCTCCCACCACCATTGCTTCCCCTCTGCCACTGTATTTCTTGTGATGCAGTACCAACCCTCTTTGAATCAGTTTAGAGAAGACACAGCATGCCACAAGAGAGAGTTATCATGGCAATACAAGGAAAAAAAAAAGTAAAATTCTTGGGCTTTGGGGTTTTGAAAATCGAGGTCCCAATATAAAATTTAAAAGATATGGAAAAATATGAAATCAAGTAGAACCATTGTCCCCTATCACATTTCCTTTCCTTCCTTACCGCCCCACTATCCCATACACACACACACACACACACACACACACACCTTCCAAGAATAGATCAAAGTTGCCAAATGGGAGCAAGGTGAGCTGAGAGAAACAGAGAGGCTACGTCAATAGGGAGCAATTGGTAGGACTTAGGGACTCACTACAGTCAGAATTCAGAAGCCCACTTCCCTCTATTCAAGTGAGAATCATCCAGAATAACACTTGGAAACCCTGTAGACAACTAGACAACTCTTGGAACTTGTCCAGGAGCACTACAGATCTTCAGCAGAGGAAGGAAAAATGCTGTTCATCCTTCCCACTACATTTGGCAATGAACCCCCATAAATAGCAGACGGAGCACGACCTGTGAGTCAACCAGAAGGACTAATTCCTATTCCTTGAGTTCAAACCTCATTTAATAGCCGAAGATGCCATTTAGCCCTTGAGATGGAGAGTAGAGCTCTTCACACCCTCGGGGACAGTGCAAAGATCTGAGTATGAAAGATGCTCCTACCTATTTCCATCAGGCTTGTACTTAGATGGGCCTGAGTGGACCAGCTCGAGATCCTCCTTACAAGGCAGGACTGTAGTGATCATCGGTGCTGTTCCCCAAATATTTCTGGTCCTCTCCTGGTCCCATAGTAGAACTGATCTTCCTAGCTCCTGGTGATTGATTAGGAGGGGTTACAGGACTGGTTCTGGCCAATGAATTATGAGCAGAAGTGATGTGTATCACTTCTGTGACAATTACTTGTCAGGACGAGACCCTCCAGAGTTCTCTCTTTCCTCTAGCAAGGCCACTGGCAACATTCGTTCCATGGATGATTGTGGAAAGCTAATCTAACCTGTCATGATTATGTAACATGAAGAGGAAATGATTTGTTTTAAGCCACTGAGACTATAAGTTGTTTCCTTCTGCAGCATAAGCTAGCCTATGATGATTGGTATAACCTGTTAGAAGCCATTAGATGTTCTAGAAGGCATCGTGAGTATATCTGGGAGCTGGAAGAATAAAGGAGGGGGTCCAATTAGAGGAATATTTCCCACATTAACTCGGAATCTTAGTAATTTTCAAGATGTCCAGTTAAAGTCCATGATCAGAAAAGCAATAAGAGCTATTATTGGGGCACCTGGGTGGCTCAGTCGGTTAAGCGTCTGCCTTCGGTTCAGGTCATAATCCCAGCGTCCTCAGTCAAGTCTTGCATTGGGCTCCCTGCTCAGTGAGGAGCCTGCTTCTCCCTCTCCCTCTGCTGCTCCCCCTGCTTATGCTCTCTTGCTCTCTGTCAAATAAATAAATAAAATTTTAAAAAAGAGGTATTATTTACTCACTCATTTAATGTTAACCTATTTATTGAGAACATACTGTGTGCCAACACTATGCTAGGAACAGGGATACAGCAGGGAATGAACAGGCACTGTTCCTATTCCTATAAAGCTTTTGCTATAACAACATCAAGCTAATGATTGAAAAGGAAATAAGGGCCTGGAGAAATTGAGAGACCTGCCCAAGGCGATGCAGTTAATAAATGGTGAACTGGGACTTAAACTTGAGTTTTTGGACTCCAAATTTTTGGGCTTTCCTCACTGTCCCCAGCCACTTTGAAATCACAAATCAGTATCGCCTTGCGCCTGCTCTAAAAAGTAGGTAGAATTTAATCCTAGGCTGCCTTCTACCTCCCTCCTAATGTTTGCCGACACCTGAAATTTCTTTAATAACCACAACTTTTCATTCCATAATTAGTACTTAGCACAGGGCCTGACAAATAATAGGCATTCTCTAAATGTTTTTTTTTTTTTGAGTAAAACATGCTTGAATGAATCAATGAATGAAATAAGAAGGCTTAACTACTTAAAACTATTGATTTAAATATCAGATACACTCAATCTAGCTCATTCTAAACCACAACTAAATAATCACTCAACATGGGTGTGAAGCCTGGTATGGAGGAATAGGTTTTTTGAAATACTGATGCTCTTTCCAGTCCCAACATATCCTGTCAGCTCGCCCCTTCTCTTTGATTGGGGAACCAGCTAAACCGTGTGGCATGAATAGCTCAGGAAATGGTTATTTCAGCAGAGAGACAAAGAAAAGTCTTAGCCGTCTCAAAAGCTTTTGAGTTTCAGTTGTTCAAAGAGACCCAAATTTAAAAAAAAAAAATCTTAAAGAGGCAGAAAAAGACCTCTCCAACCTCCCCAAGTACATAATATCACCCCATACTGCAGGGAGGGAGAAAAATGTGAGGAGGTGCAGGAGTGAGTGGACGTTGTAAGTCCCTCAGAAAGAGAGACCCAATAGCCTGCCCCTACAGCGTATGCAAAAGGAAAAATTGGGCACAATAAAGTAGCTTGTATTGAACCAATTCTCTACAGATAAACTCTAGACAAAATCTAAAAACAACTCTCTGAAGGCAATGAAAGGCAACTAAAAATAGATAGAAACTCAAAGAGAGGCAACACTTGAAAAATGGAAACATCCGTGGGTGGGTTTCCCTTTTTTTTTTAATGGCTTTTTCACCCAAGCTAGGCCCCAGTTAGCACCCCGCAGGGCAGCCCCAACTCAAATGGAAACCAACAGTTGTACCAGCTAAGGAATCAGAAGACACAGTTCAGAGTGATCACAGCAGCTGGGGAGTGTGGGGACAGAACCCTACAAATGAGAGAGCCACAGATGGGGAGCACTGAACTATATTAACTCTGCGCTAACCCCTGCCTGACCCCTCAGCTAGACTCCAGGCTGCACCCACTGCAAGGGAGACCAAGGTTGAAATTTTAATCCAGCAAAGTTAACTGCCTGCTAAGATGTTTTAAAAATCAATATTCTTGGGGTGCCTGGGTCGCTCAGTTGGCTAAGCATCTGCCTTCGGCTTGGGTCATGGTTCCCAGGGTCCTGGGATCAAGCCCCACATCGAGCTCCCTGCTCAGCGGGAAGCCTGCTTCTCCCTCTCCCACTCCCCCTGCTTGTGTTCCCTCTCTCGCTGTCTCTTTCTCTGTCAGATAAATACATAAAAATCTTTAAGAAGAAATAAAAAAAAAATCAATATTCTTGCGAGTCACATAGCAGAATCCAGAGTCTTGACAATGTGTCATTCACAAAGGTCCACAATACCATCCCATATTACTAGGTGTTAAGAAGAAGCAGGAAAAAGTAACCCATATCCAAGAGAAAAATTAGTCAATGGAGACCAACCTCAAGATGAGCCAGGTGTTGAAATAAGATTAAGATGTTAAAGCAGCTATTATAACTACTCTCAAGAATATAAAGGAAAATATTTGTGATGAAGGAACAAATAGGCCATTTCAGCAGAGAAGCGCAGACTATGAAAAGAAAAGAACCAAATGGAAATTCTAAAACTGAATATCTGATATAAAAGTGAATAATAATGGGTGGTATAATAAAAACCTGAGATGTGTTAGGGAGAGCCCAAATACAGAAGGGACTCATGACTTCTGCCCCAGGTAGAGCTCAGACTGGCACCCAGCATGGTACATCTGGGCAGGTGGGTCTGAGAAAACCTCCAGGTTCCCTGGACCTTACCATACCATGGGAGAAATAGAACATCTCCTGAGCACCTGAGGGAAGCACAGAAGTGCTAAAGGGCTATAAATAATCCCTCAAAGATTTCAGTAGTTGGGCGCCTGGGTGGCTCAGTCAGTTACGGGTCAGACTCTTGGTTTTGGCTCAGGTCATGGTCTCAGGATTGTGAGATTGAGCCCTGCATCAGTCTTCATGCTCAGTGTGGAGTCTGCTTGAGATTCTCACCCTCTGCCCCTCCCCCCATGAGCGAGAGAGATAGAGAGAGAGAGGGAGAGAGAGGGAGAGAGTATGCTCTCTCTCTCTCTAAAATAAATATAAACATAAGATAAATAAAAACATAAGAGCATGTGCACTCTTTCTCTAAAATAAATAAATAAATAAAATCTTTTAAAAAAAGGACTATAAGGTAAGTTTTATTTTTAGCACATCTGAGTACCTACTATACTAATATGAGATAATGTGTGTGATAGGAGGGGGAAGATTAGACAGTTGAAGGTTGACATTGATGATTAGCAAAAAAACATAAGGGCCTCCTCCCACTCTTCCCGTGCTGCATAGAAGGAACTCTGAACAGTTAAGAACCATTTCCTCCCTAACTGCCAGCAGGTAGTTCAGGCTCTAGGGTATGAGCGCAGCTTCTCAAGATATCTGCTTTTCCCCGCCTTCCAAACATGATTTTGTATAAAGGAGCTTCCTTGCAAGAAGTTTTGTTAACTGAGATTTAACTGTATGGCCTGATATGTAGCCATTTACTCCTCTCCTATTTCCCCAACTGCATGAGGGTTCTGATCTAGTCGTTTCTCCATTTCCTAGAATGCCCCGGCTTATAAAATAGTATGAACGAATGAATAAACAAAGGAATGAATAAACAGGTGAATACCATTTGTCTTAGTCTGTTCAGGCTGCTATAACTAAATACCATAGACTGGGTGGCTTATAAACAACAAATATTTATTTCTTACAGTTCTGAAGGCTGAGAAGTCCGAGATCATGGACCCTTAAACTCACTCTCAGTGTCTGGATGATCATTTTTTCAATATAACCTCACATGTCAGAAAGAACAAGAGAGCTCTCTGGGGCCTCTTTTATAAGGGTAGTAATCCAATTCATGAGGGCTCTATCCGAATGACCTAATCAGCTCTCAAAGGCCTCACCTCCTAATACCATCACCTTGGGGGTTAGGATTTCAACAGACGAATTTCAAGGGGATACAAACATTCAGACCATAGCACCATTCATACAGGAGCTAAGGCATCTATGTTGGATTAATATTTCTTGCAAAGCCTGCTCTTCCCTCCTCCTAACTCATTCTGTTCTCCTCATTCCTTTTGAAACACATTTCAAGGGTTTAAATGTCAGTGGCTGCAGGCCCACTTTCCTCCCTCCCGTTGTCTGCCATCTCTCTGCTCAGCTGAAATGGGAGTTTTGGCAGAGAGCTCTCCGTCAATCACCACTGAGGCCTTTTCTCTCAGGCCTACTGTTTCCAGGCCCAAGTATCAAGAGTCAGGCTGACAGCCCTGGCCCCTGGCAGTCTGAGGAAAGAGCCGGAGAGGCTTTTTAACAGGCCGAAATCTTGCTTTTGGCATGTGGCCTCAGCTAAGCCACAGCTGGATGGCAACAGGCCAAACTCAAGCATCTGCCTTCTCCTCCAGGCGTGAGTATCAAGCATCTTTGCTAACATTATTATTAAGGAATTATCAATATTTTAGTAGTGTTATCACTTCTTGAAAAAAAAAACAGCTAGTTAGGTCATGCAGGACAGGACCTCAGTGGTTAAGATATAACAAGACAGGTCTTATTTCGTCTTTCCTCTTAAGGTCATCATTATACTGACCTGATTATCTTGAAGAGGGATCTCAAAAGCCACCTTCACCCTTGTCTTTTCTCTAATCCCAGTTAGAGGCTCTAACCAAGAGTCTATAAGTAAAGTTCATTTTAAATAATTGCGAGTGTGCCCACCAGGGTTCTTATAGCACACTAGAGAGATGGGCTCTGGTTACCTTAAGGTGTAAAGAAAATTAGGAAAAGGCTTTTGGGTAATTAATAGAATCACTGAAGAACC